GATTCACATTATTGTTTATAGAATCTATCGATCTATTTATTGTTTCTACATTTACGGGAGGCATTGTTGGAAAAAATAAATTAACTAGCATGAGTTTATAGAATTTTTATTACCTTTTATTAAGTTTTTATTTCTTGTTTTTGTAACCTATGTAATAAATAGTGGTAATAAATATAAATAATGGTAGAGATAATGGTAGATAATGAAGAGTCTAGTCATTTATAGAGAAACTATAGAGGTTACAAATGAAGTCCAAATATTGTCCTTTTTGTTGTTTTCATGTGAGAGAAATAATTAAGAAGAAATAAAAAGTATTTGTTCCTTTTCTTGTGCAATCTTTGTTTTTAGTAAATATTTCCATCATTCTCTATTTGTTAGTTTACGTTGATGACATGATTGTCATTGGGAATGACCCAACTTTAATTCGTTCATTCATTCAACAGACGGACAAGGAATTTTCAATTAAAAATTTGGGTCACTTGAGCTATTTTCTTGGATTAGAGGTTACTCACACCAAAGATGGTTTACTTCTTGGTCAAGTTAAGTGTGCAAGAGACATTCTTGATCGTGCTAAAATGTTCTTGTCCAAACCTGTTGCGATTCCATGGGGAGCTGGTTCTCAGCTTCATAGTTCACAAGGACAACCATTTCATGATCCTACTCTTTATCAGTCTCTCGTCGGTGCATTACACATAACTCGGTCGAATCTTTCATTTGCAGTAAATTCTGTTAGTAAGTTTCTCCAAGCACTGATTGATGCTTATTTCTTAGCCGACAAGCCTGTCCTACGATACGTCAGGGGTACGATCCATTATGGACTCAATTTTTCCCGTTCTACTGACTCTTCATTGTTCAAGGTTACTCTAATGCATTCTACATACGTTTATGCTATATTTCTAGGCAATAATATCGTATCATGGAGTGCAAAGAAATAACCTATTGTCTCTTATTCTAGCTGTGAATTAGAATATCGAGTTCTTGCTAATACAACTTTTTAGATGGTATGGATGGTTCATCTTCATTGAGACCTACGAGTTCAGCTTCCCATCTCTCGTATGTTGTTTTGTGACAACAAAAGTGCCATCTTCATGTCTCAAAATCCAATCGTGTACAAACGAGATAAACACATCGACATTGACTACCACTTTGTGTGTGAGAAAGTTGCTTATGGATTGATTAAAGTTCAATTTGTTCCATCTCACCTTCAGCTTGCCGATGTTTTTACAAAAGGCTTGGCAAGACCATTTTTCTATTTTTCCGATCCAAGCTTCAATTTGGTAAAAACTTAATGCTATGCTTGAGGGGGGATGTTAGCCCATAGTATTTTATATGTATTTGTATTTTAGTTTATCCCATGTATATCTTATGTGGGCCCATATATATGTTGCACCCTAATTATTTCTCTACTTATATGGAATTCTTCAATCACCTAAGTCAATGATGATATTCCCCCAATTATCATAGCAACGAACAAGAAAAACGTTTGAGAGATTTTAGATGTTTAAACATATAAATGCTCTCCGATGGATTCTTAATTTTTGTAGACAACAAAATTAGCTCCTGAATATTACTGTCTTCTAGTTTAAGCTTCCTTAGACATCATAACCCCCAAATGCTTCTTCAAAACGTATGAAGGTTTGTGAAAGCATCTCAAGATTTCTAGTTATTGAGGGTTGAACCTCTTTATAAACACAACGAAAATGAAACTTTGTCATGTTATTGTCGGGGTGAAGTTGGCATCTTTCTAGGTACATTGTAATCACATATAACTCAACTAAAGGAACAACTTCAAGTGATTCCTCTACGCTACAAGAAACATAACTCTTAGGTTAAAAAAAGATCTAGACCTCAAACAACCATTTATGTCTAAGTAGACAAGCTTTTGTAGTGTAGGTAAAATTATATTTCAAAATACAAAGCATTAGGCTCTAAGTGACCAAGTCTAAAAACAATGTTACAGACAAGACCTATAATGACTTTTTCCAAGACAACTTATGAGCAGGCTTTTAGGGTGATTGTCCATCAAATGATGAATGGAACAAATTTATTATCAAATTTTTGCAGTTCAATAATTCTTGGTAATGGTAAAGTCTTGACCTCGTCATCAAGGGTATTCAAATATATTTTAAGATGAACACATAGATAATATTGTGGATGATAAAAGATCACCTATTTCCAAATTGTAATATATTGAGGAAAATAATGCAGACACATACATACATACATTTATACACATGTACATACATGCATAATATATTAGACTAATCTTAGATATAACAATGTAATTTTATTTATTTGTGTAGTATAGCATCCTACTTTCATTTCTTTTGATTATAAAAATTAGTTTTCTTATTCAAGAACTGTACTCTGAAAAATCTACTATATCAATCATTGTACAGTCAAAATGTTTTCTCATTAGAGCATTATACTTTGAAAGATTTGTCTGAATATAGCAGTGTACTTTCAACTTTTTTCTTATTAGAACATTATCCTTTGAAAAATCTACCCATTTAGAGCATGATCCTTCCAATCTTTCTCTTATTAGAACATTATACCTTCTATTAATTTCATTGCACTTATCAATTTTTCTTAATAGAACATTATACTTTGAAAATCTACCCAATTATAACATTGTACTTTTTTTATTGCATCATTATACTTAGATAATCTACCCAATTATAGCATTGTACTTTTTATTTTTACTTGATAGAACATCATACTTTGAAAACCTACACAAAAATGTTGCATTGTACCTTCAACTATTTCTTATTAGAACATTATAATTTTAAATTGCTTTTTATTTTATTTCCATTGTTATAATTAGGTATATATTTTTTAGTACAATGTTGTAATAGGAATAAATGAAAGTAGGATGATATGATAAACAAAAAAGATATGTTTTTGTTCATGCATTTAATATACAACTAGTGAAGAGACCCATGCTTCACAGGGGTCAGAAGGTATTTTGGATTTGTTGCCATTTTTGTTGTTTTCTCTAATGAAAATACAAAGGCGTAAATATGACTTATCCTTCATTAAGGAATTTATCATCTGAATATGCATTTTCAAATCTTTTCTGAAATGGAGTCACATGGCAGCTAACCTTTTTATCCTGTTAGTGAAACGAAAATATAATTACAAAATATATTTAATTTTTATACAAAAATGAAAAAAGTTCATATTTTTGTATAAAATAATATATGTATAATATGGATAAATTAATGCCATCTACAAATCAATGTTTTTTGTTATGATCAGAAAGGGCAAATATGTGAATGGTATTTTAACTTGTGCCCTCTTTGATTAATTATGGATCCACCGGTTCTGCATTTCTTAGAATGGACTCTTTTTTTCTTTAAATCATCATTAGCCTGAAAGGTTATAACACATAATGTAAGAATCCTACCACATAAACCAAAGTATAATGGTATATGTGGGCGGATTTTCAAAAAATATGAAAATGCACACTGCTATATTTGTGTAAACTCTAAAAAAACATGAAAGTGCAATGCTATATTTGAGTAGATTTTCAAAATACATTATGAAATAGCAGCTATCTTTGGCAGAATAACTGAGTGAGTTGAGAGCAGAAGCTTGTTGTAATTCAATGAAATTGTGAATCTTTTCGACCTACTAGTCCTTTTTAAACATAAATTCGTTAATAATTATATTACCATTAACTCTCTAATTTTCATGTTTCGTAGAAATGGAAGATACCTTACCTTAGGAGCAGGATGTTTGGGTGCCAAACCCAAAGGGGCTCATGTGGGAGACCATGTGCTTTGTTATGCACCACCCTATAACCAATAAGTAAGAACAACAAATCAGAATGAATATCCAAAATTTGTAGAGCGTGAATGTTACTTTTGATGACTACTAAAATTTCTAGGAAATGTAAAGAATAAGAACAATTAATATAATACAATCTAACAACATTAGTTTCTGAATATGTGGCCAATCGTCTCAAATGACCAACAATTATAAAAGAAAATTATAAAATTTTATGGATTCAGTTGCAAATAGAAAAAAGAATAGAAGTTTACCTTCAAATTTTCAATTATGTCCCTGCCCCAAAATCAAATTATTACCTAAATTTACAGAAAATAAAGACATAAATCGAAAAGGAACGAGGACAAAATTATACAAATGATGAGAATTGAATTCCATCTTGAAATCTCATGGAATTCAGTTATGTACTCATTTGCCACCAAATGTAAAAAGTAGGTTGGAATTCCGCCCATATCTCAGCGACAAAATCAAGTGAAGTAAACTCCCCATTATTACGTGTAGTAATTTTTACTAGATGGATGGGAACTGGAAACCAAATAAGAGATAGATAAGCACAGTGATATCAAAAACTTCAACATACCAGTGAGTCAATGTCCAAATTTGTAGCAACTGGCTGGCGTGGTTGGTTTTCTTCTAAAACAGTGCCCATTATATGACATTTGCTTTGTTCGGCTTGCTAATGTTGGACAGCCTGCACAAACGTTACAGTTTGACCATTTTAAGGTCCGAATCAGCCATTCCTTTCTAAAGATGAAAGGTAGTACACATTTCTAACTTTTCAAAAATGTAAATTGACATTTCTAATGATTTATAATGAATTTATTAATTTTGCATCTCATCTTTTGTTTGTGCTTATTTCTCCTTTAGCCATTTAGCACTTGATAGAAGTTCTTATGTTCATTAAGGTATGTAATATATGAGTTCCCGAGAAGGATATCCAGAGGGTTTTAGTTCTAAAACACAGTAAGGAGATCAACAACAATAGTTGATGAAATTGTACGAACTCAACATCTGGAAACAATTATGACATGCAAGTATCAACAGAGACCAACTATTGATGTAAACCAAATAGGTTTAAAAAGTAGTTGGCAAATCACCTTGTCCGTTGATTGCTTCCTGGTCATCGAAACTGCTAATTGTAGGAAACAGTTCATATGTTAGGACTTAGGACTGATAGCAACACGAATATACACTTTCAAATGCAGAATTGATTAAGAAAAAAGATTTCGTTCTGCCATCATTATCCATCTATCGGGGTCGTTAACGTTGAAAATTGGGAATTCCAATTTCCGACCCCTAATACCGCTAAATCGTAGATTATCACCATCGTTTGGAAATTTACCCCGTGATTCTTCATCAATTGCTCTAAGAATTGCTTCAACGATCCAACCTCCGATGCTGCTTTCAACTTCTTTCTGGATATTGCCGATGTTACTTTCAGTTTCTTCTACATGACATAGATAGATCTTGACATATTGAACAGAACTTGCTTAATTTAGTATACACTATGATGATTTTCACAATTAGAATACTAAACTGAACTGATTACAATACACAAACGATTGAAACTCTCTTCTGACTTTGAGAGGCCAGACTGTTTTCTAACAGAAAATAACAGGAACCTTCGAACAATAAGAAAGAGGCTTTTATGTGCAGTAAATGCAAACTTTATTAACCAATAACCATCCATCAGTTTTTTACAAAGAGAATACTAAGCCATATACACACGATGAAGCATCACAATGTTTACTATAACCATAATTAACTAACTTATATAACTGATTATAACTTCCATCAACCAACAACTTGAAATGCCTAGATTACCCTTCAACAATAATTAGCTCCTTAAGACACTTTAACTTATATAGATCCTTAGGCACCTCTAGAATACCGCCTTCTAGTTTAAGCTTTCTTAAACGCCATAGCCCACAGATTCTTCCTGAAAACGTCTCAAGGTTTGTGCAAGCACACATACCAAGAGAAATAAGCATCTCAATTTTTCTAGTCAATGAGGGTGGATCTTCATCATAAATACAACTAAACTGAAACTTTGACAAGCTATTGTGGGGATGAAATGGGCAGCTTTCTAGGGACTTCACACCCAGATCTAACTCAGCTAAAGGACCAACCTCAAGTGATTCATCAAAACTACAAGAAGTAAGATCTTTTATCTGAAACAAAAAATTATCCAAACCCCAAATCAGATAAGTGTAAGTTAACAAACTTTTTCAGACCTTCAACGGGAGGGCGAAGTTCTACCAAATCATAACATTTTGCTAGATGCAAGTTTTCAAGATTTGGAGTGTGCCCAATGTCAAGGATCCTCAACTTTGCATTAGTGAGGGTTAATGATCGTAGGTTTAGACATCTACGGGGCATGTGAAGTTTTTCCAAACTGTTGCATTCAACAAGATACGACTCTTCAAGATTTGGAGCCAGCCGAAGGTCAAGTGTCCTCAAATTTGAACCTTCAAGGTTGACGTATTTGAGGTTTAAAAATTCAACAGGCATGTGAAGTTCTTCCAGTTGACAACATAATCCAAGATTTAACCTCTCAACATTTGGAGTGAGCCCAAGGTTAAGGACCCTCAACCTCGAATGCCTAATGTTGAGGTTGGCGAGCTTTTGACATTCATACGCCATGTTAAGTTCTTCCAAGTAACGACAATCTCCAAGATCTAATTCCCTGAGATTTGGATTAAGACCAATATCAAGGGTCCTCAACTTTAGTGTAGTTAGTCGTAAGTACTTGAGATTTAGACATCTATCAGGCATATGAAGTTTTTCCAAACTGTTGCAGAAGTTAAGAATCAACTCTTCGAGATTTGGTGCCAGCCTGAGGTCAACAGTCCTGATGAAACTTGAATCGCTGAGGTGGACGTGTGTGAGCTTTAAACATTTAACAGGCATGTGAAGATCTACAAAATTAGAACATCGCCCAAGATCCAACGTTTCAAGATTTGGAGTAAGTCGAAGGTCAAGGGTAGTCACCATTGAATAACTGAGGTCCAGGATTCTCAGCTTGTTAAGAACCTAAGGTAATTAAAAAAAAAAAAAAAAAAAAACAAAACAAAACTTATTAGAGTAATAACAAAGCAATGAATGTACAACATTATAATATATCATGCAAAACAATCAAACAATCATATTACCACCTTTTGTTCTCCCCCTTCCCAAAGTTGTTTGATTTTACTGCCTGGCATCTCAAGTGCAACAAGGTTACTTGCATGAAATGTTACGGGTAAAGACCTAAAAGGGTAGCCGGTGATATGCAGATATCTTAAAGCATTTGGAAATTCTGGGTTGACTATATTACAATCCCAATACATATAAGGAGCAATGACTAGATTAGAATCCTGATACACACGTCGATACACTCGTTGAGCAGCTTCCACGGAAAGAAACCCAAGTCCCTTCATCTTTCTAAGACCTTTGAGATCAAATTCCCGATTGCTATTTTGAGTGTCGAGTCGTATGCACCTTGTCGCTTTTCTACCCTGTAATTCAAAAGAAGTCGCCATGAATCTTGTTTTAACAAATGAAAATATTTTAGTTTTTCCTAATTTATAAATAAAAGTTAATCCTTACCAAATCATTAGCCAATACATTTCTAATTTCTTCATGAATCCACAATCGACTATGTTTATGAGGTTTATCCGGGTGCGAACGACGAACAATATTTCTGCCCATTTCTTCAAGATGGTCATGCATGCCCACATACTTGTAATTATTGTAATTATGATAAATAGTTATGAGAGATTTTTTCTCAAGAACTCTTAAACCATTTCTTGCATGAAACCCACAGCTTTCGAGTGCTTTGATTGCATCATCTTTCCGCCAACCTTTCATGATGCATGCAACATCTAGAAACATTTCCTTGTAATCCTCCTCTAGTGTGATATAACTTAGTTCCAACTTTTTCAGAGTCTCTTTTAACGGAATCATTTTTAGTCGTTCTAGGGCATCTATCCACTCAAGCTCAACTTTACCACAAAGAAACGAACCCAAAACTTTGATCGTTAAGGGAAGACCAGCGGCATAACGTACAACTTGTCTTGATAGCTCTTCATACTCTTGAATTGGAATCTCTCTCCCAAAGGCATACCTATTGAAGAGGCAAATTGCTTCCTTATCGGATAACAAATTTACATCATGAATTAACTCCACCTTGTGTGCTACCAGGACTTGCTCATCTCTTGTTGTGATGATAATCCTACTTCCTAGCTTGAACCAATTATGCTCATCGGCTAACGCCTCAAGCTGGTCTATATGATCCACATCATCTAGAACAACAAGAACCTTTTTATCACGCATCATCCTCTTCATCATGTGTTTCCCATCATAAATACTACTTACACGAACGTCTTCATTTAAGATATCTGAAAGGACTTGCTTTTGCAAAGACTTTAAACCAAATGAAGAAACATTTTCCCTGACATTTTCAACGAAGCTTTTACCTTCGAACTGAAAGGATATGTGATCAAAAACAGCTCTTGCTAAAGTTGTCTTCCCACCACCTCCCATCCCCTTGATCCCGATCATGCGGACATCATCACAACCAATTCCTAAAGATGGTACAAGATCTTCGATCCGGGTCTCCATTCCTACTAACTTTTCATCAATGTTGAAACTGATGGAACGTAACTCTAGTGAAACTTCTTCAACTATTTTTTGAATGAATTTAGCTTCATGCCTGTTTTCTTAAAATGATTCAATTAGCCTATTCAAAATCCGACATGACATGCAGGTTACTTTCAGATCTATAACATAAGTGATACAACCCTCTATGAAAAAAACAATACAGTTGTATAATCATATTTCATGGTTATTCTCTGGACAAGACACAAATTGTGTTAAAATTTGACGATCTAAGATGCCATTTAGGAGCCTTTTACATCCAGTTTATATGCTAGATCAAAAATAACTAAAATAGAAGAATATTGCACAGATATAATTAATGAAGGAATTACCCATCAGTGGTCTTCTTCAACTCCCATCCAGCAAGGTCCGTTGCTTCTTTGAGAGCCACCCTCCATTTCCCAGCAGCCTCTTCCATTTCGTACTTGGCAAATGCTTCTCCAACTGCCCCACTTTGGTTGCGGACTTCGGAGGGTTCCACATCATAGAAGATAGGGTACGCAGTGTGCTCTGTCGTCATATGGCACTCCATTATCTTCACAAGCTCATCCAAGCACCAAGATGAAGAGGCATAGTTCTTGGAAAAAACAATGATGTAGAATTTTGAATCTTCAATGGATCCGATGAGCTCATCACTGATCTTTTTACCTTTTTTGATTCTCTCATCATCCTTGAAAGTACGAATACTTTTTTGCTGGAGAGCATGAAAAAGATGATCAACCAAGTTTGTACGAGTATCTTCACTCCTGAAACTCAAAAATACATCATACTTAAAGCTCTTATGAACAGATGAAGTTGAAGAAGACGCCATTGAAGGTATGATTGAAGGATCCTAAAAGATCAAATCTTTGTTGGGAAAATCTATGCGAAATGATTGCAAAGAAACTTGAATGAGATGGATTGAGTAACCCTCCGTGTATATTACCAGTAAAGTCAACGTTATAGGTAGGCACTTTTGGTCAAAAAAACTGTAGGTTTAGTTGAACAGATTATAAAAGTAAAGAAGAAACTCGTATACTTATGTGTATATTTTCTTTTTGAAAACAAATATTTTATTTTTATGTACTTCAGAGGTTTCTTTTATTTTATTTGTGTTTATGAAGAAATATCCAAAGGATATTTATTTTTTCTTGTATTGATGGGATATAATGAATATTTTATCATTTCGATATATATACTAGAAAAAAAAAATTATGGAGTCTATGTAAAATATATTTTAGTATTTTATATATAATTGAGTTGAGATATTGTTTATCTTTTTTTTTCTTTATCGTAAAATTGTTAAAATCATCATTTAATTATTTTACTTTTTACATTCATGTCTTTTTTTAAAACAAAACTAGTTCGGTTTCATACTTTCATATTACAGACAAATTCTTTTTATACAACTTTCTAATGCAACTTTAGTCACAATACAACAATATACATTTGTGGTAATAAATCAACAATATATCGCATGAGTTGTAGGAAAGTAGATATTTAGCGGTATCTTCTAGGTAAATAGTGGTTATCCCACTAGTAGTTATCTCTTTCGTTTGTATTTGTATTTAAACACTTTATTGCATGCTTAATGATCAAGAAAAGATATCCAAACCCTATTTTTTTCACATTGCGGTACATAGTCTGTCTTGTGATCCGCTAAATTAATAGACGAAGGTTGCCATGATTAAACTTGATGACGCCGCCGTCGAAGCCCCACTCAATTTATCATTCGATCCAAATTCATCGTTATATATCCACCCTAATGACTACCCATGAAAGTTGAAACAATATGAATACACTACTAGTGCTAAAGAAATGTGGGATGGTCTTGAAGAACGTTTTGGGAAGGAAAGCGCACTACGAGCGTACCAACTAAACCAAATTCTGACAACAATCAGACAAGATAACAGGTCTATCTTAGCATACTTCATGAAGATGAAAGGAATCTAGGAGGGGATACTTTTCATTTCACCAATCCCAAGATGCACATGTGGTATGTCTTCATGCAGTCTCGGAAAGAGACTTGTAGAGTCAAAAGAGAAGGGGCGAATTTACATGTTCTTGATGGGGCTTGATGCACTAGTACAGAAGAGCTTTTTTAGTGCGAATAAATTTTTTTTTTTGAGGCGGTTGTATGTGGAAACCGCCTATCAAATTCATGCAGCATTAAAAAAACACGAAAACCGCATTAAAAGAGCAATAAAAAATTCCTCCAATAGATTTATTAATGCGGTTCACCAAAAAGAAGCATTAAAAACGATTTTTTGATGCTATTTGCTATAAACGCACTATTAAATTATGATTTTTTGGTGCGTTTTTTTATAAACCGCTTCATTAAATTACGATTTTTTGGTGCCATATTCCAAAAACCGCATCAGTTAAAAGCTAGTTATTATCAGTACGAGGGTTTCTCTTTGTAAATGTGAACGTTCTTCGCCGAAGATTCCCTCCGCAAGTGACAAAAACTCAAAATAGCCTCATTAAATTGTCTAGTTATCTTCATTAAAGGTAAATTAAATTTTATTGTTCTTTTGATTTTATATTACCTGTTTATTTATTAAATGATTGTTTAATTGTTATTTTTAAATTGATTTTTATAGATTATTAAAATGTTAAAATTTACATAACCTGTTTGTTGAAAATCGATATATTACATTGTTTGTTTGTTTATTTTAATTTTCAGATGAATCGTGATTATTGGATGTACAAAGTTTCACGTTTTTCTGAACTTTATATAGAGGGTGTTCGAACTTTTATTAGGGTTGCCGAAGCAAATCGCGTGAATAAAGGAAATGAATCGATTTCTTGTCCTTGTAACCTTTGTAAAAACTTTAAAACGTTTAATTTTATTGGAGAAATAGAGTATCATTTGTTGCAAAATGGTTTTGTGCCTAATTACACTTGTTGGTCAAGACATGGAGAAACACTTCTTGATTGTGGCACATCGTCGAGCAATATAAATTTTCATAATAGTACATACAACAATGATTCATATGTTGATGAAGATGATCATCATTCAAATGACCCAAATGACAATTTCAATGAAATGTTTGATGACATGGAGACTAACATGGATGATGTTGAACAAGAAAAGTTACAATGCGTATTTGAAGAAGCAGAAACACCGTTATATAGCGGTTCCAAATTTATGAAACTCGATGTGGTATGTAGGTTGATTAACTTAAAGTCGAAAAACGGATGGACTGATAAAAGTTTCACAAGTCTATTAGAGGTTTTGCATGACATTCTTCCGGAAGATAATGTATTACCCATTTCTACATATCAAGCAAAAAATGTATGTGAGAGCTTGATATGCTTATTATTAGAGATGAAGCATAAAACTAAAGAGGTTAGTGTCCGAAAGGACATGGCCGAGATGGGGATACGTGAAGATCTTGCCCCCAAACAGAGTGCTAACGGTGTTTATCTCCCACCTGCTTGTTATACTACATCAAAAGAAGAAAAAATAAAGTTTTGTCAATGTTTACATGATATTAAGGTCTCATCAACTTATTCTGCAAACATTAAAAGATTTGTATCGATGAAAGACTGTAAATTGTTTGGAATGAAGTCTCATGATTGTCATGTTTTGATGACACATATGATTCCTATCGCAATTCGTGGAATTTTACAAGATGATGTCCGGCATTCTATCACTAAGCTTTGTTTGTTTTTTAAAAACATTCACTCAAAGGTTATTGATGTAGAAGATTTGGATCAATGGGAGAAAGACGTTTATGTTACACTTTGTGAACTAGAGATGTACTTTCCACCCTCATTTTTTGATATAATGGTTCACCTCATATCTCCTATCGTACAAGAAATTAAGGCTTGTGGTCCTGTATTCTTACGGTACATGTACCCTTTTGAAAGATACATGGGTATCCTAAAAGGTTACGTAAGAAACCGTAATCGGCCAGAGGGTAGTATTGTTGAAGGGTATACTTGTGAAGAGGTGATTGAGTTCTGCCAAGGTAATCCTATTAATAATATATTACAGTTATAACAATCTATAATATATTATATATAATATTAATATTTTTTGTAGGCTATATGAAAGATGTCGAAAGTGTTGGTGTTCCAAAAACTCGTCATTCAGGTCGACTTGAAGGAAAGGGAGGTGTCGGTTTCAAAATAAACATGCCAACTTATGAAGAGTTACAAGTTGCACATTTAGTGGTCCTAAAACACATGAAATTTCTTACTCCTTACGTTGATGAACACATGGACATGTTAAAGTTGAAATACCCGGGTAAGGAAAAAATGTGGTACATAAACAATCATAACAAAGAGTTTTCGAGTTGGCTGGAAAAGAAGGTAGCAGAAACGGATGTTGATGAAACCGTGAAAAGGTTGGAACGTGGGCCAGATTGTAGAGTTAAATCTTATCAAGGGTACGACATTAACGGTTATACGTTTTACACCAAAGATCAAGATGAAAAAAGTACAATGCAGAATAGTGGAGTTACAATGATAGCATCAACGACCGAATTCGATAGACGGGATCATGATACTTTGATAAGAATAGCCAAAGATTCTTATTACGGTGTTATACACAAAATTTGGGAGTTGAATTATTATGACTTCGTTATTCCTGTGTTCAAATGTAAATGGGTGAATAACCGTACATGTGTTCAAGTTGATAAAGATGGTTTTACACTTGTTGACCTTTCAAATAATGGCTATGTATCTGAGCCATTCGTTCTCGCAAAACATGTCACACAGGTTTTCTATATCAAAGACCCGAGCAAGAAAAAAGAGCACATCGTCTTACAAGGCAAACGACGTATTATTGGTGTTGATGATGTCGTTGACGAAGAAGAATACGACCACTTTGATGATCTACCACCATTTTCGGTTGGTATTGAACCCGGTAATTACGATAATATTGAACACACAACATTCGTACGATCTAACATAGAAGGGACATATGTTGATTAAGTGCATGGATGGTTTTTTTTTTCATTTTTGAATGTTGTTTTTACATGACTTTTGTATGAAATACTATCTATTGATAAATAATAACAATATTGTCCTTATCTTTTGATAATTATAATGTTTGTATAATTGTTATAAGAAATATCAAATAACATTTAAATGTATCAGGTAAGACTTTTTTTATCTGCGGTGTTTGATCACTTGTGATGACATTTAATGTATCAGGCATTTACTTGTTCTGTTAACAAAAATAGGTAATCTACTTTTTAGGTGAAAACCACCCTAAAAAATAAACCAAACCGCTTCAAAAAAAACGAAAACCGCAACAAAAGATATACTTCTAGTTTTTACGTGGAAACCGCCCTAAAAAATAAAAGTAACCGCCTCAAAAGACAAAGACAGCATCAAAAAATACAAAACCACCTCAAAAAATACGCATAAAAAGAAGCTAAAAATAGTATCAAAAAATCGATAAACGCATAAAAACACATTGAGTTTTGATTGAGTAGTATTTTAGAAAAGATAATTATGTATTGTTATTTTCTTTTTAGAAAAACTAAATTATTACTGGTGGGCCGGCATTGGTGCCTTAGACCATATTCTACCACTAAAGTATCAAAAAATCGATAAACGCATAAAAACGCATAAAAGTAACCTACTACTACCACATAGCATGTAACACATAACCATATTCTATCTAGTATGAGTGGGTATGACCACCCCCTTTTGGCCCTATCAACCGGTAACCTTGGGGACTATCTCCCCTACTGCTACTAGCATCTAATATCATATCATACTAGCTCATAACATATCAGGTAGTAGCAAACCTAGATGAATATCACAAAGACAAT